TTTTTTTTGTTCTTAATTATTTTTTTTTATATGTAAAAACTATTTTTTAATAATATTAAAACTTAGAAGTTATAGAAAAAGTCTAATTGCACATTTTAAAACATCGCGAAAAGTTGATTTAGAATAGTATATTTTTGTTTCTGATGGAAGTTCCTTGTAGTCCAGTGTATAAAACTTATAACTTTGTTAATTGTTATAACTTTATCAAAAATGACCAAATCAGTATATTTTTTTTTATTTAGATGCATGTCTTTATCTATCATTTGGTTTTTTTTATAAATCTAACCCTTTACCTGCCCACAAGAGGGATTCAAAATATTAACTTTTTTTTTTTTAGTTAAAGTAAATCATTAAAATTAATTCAGTTCTGGATATTTCAATAGTAGAATCTTTTTAAATATCAAAAATTACTTAGAAATGATTACTATGATTTCTATTTAAGTGTTCTATTACGATAAAAATGCAAAAAATAATGAGTTTTTCTGATAAATTTACAATAAATAATAATTATAAAACTTTCTGACTGCATATTAATCTTAAAAATAACATTGTTTTAATTCTCATAAAATTTTCTATTTAATGATTCATTCTAGTCAACGAAGGAGTAATTTTGCAGAATAGCAGAAAAAATTCCCAACAAACTTTTTTTTTTTTTGTTTTAATTAGGCAATTGGTGGATTATTCCAAAAGCAACATCAACTCTTATTTCTTTAATTATATCATGATTAGTAGTTCTTTGATTTTAAAATATAATATTTGAATATATACTAATTATAATTATTAAATTTAGTATGAAATTGATATTTAATATTGTAATTTAAACGGAGAAATTATAAAAATAATAAAGAAGTTATATTTTGCTTTACTTTTACGTGTATAAAAATTTAAAGGGCTTGATACAATAATTTTCAATAAAAACTGTTTGTTACTATAAAAAAATGCACTGGACTACAAGGAACTTTCATCAGAAGCAAAAATATACTTTTCTAAATCAACTTTTCGCGTTGTTTTCAAATCTGCAAGTAGACTATTTCTATCACTTCTAATTTTTTATATTATTACTAATTATATATATAAAATAATAATTAAAAGAAAAAAAAATTTGTTTTCAAATTATTACTGATTTGATTTTTAATATGTTAAAAATAATCAGTCCAAATTTTCAATTTTAACCTATTTTTTTGGTTCTTTAAAGTTGATGAAAAATTTTTGATAAAGATTTATGAAAGTTTATAGTAAAATAAATTGAATATATTACCATAACTTTTAGCTCAATTACAAGTTTAAAATTGACATCTAGGCCAGTCAACAAAGGAAAAATTGCGGAAAAAATTTTGTTTTTTTAAAAGTTGAATTAAAATATGTATAATGACATACTAATAGTCCTCAAGATTGGAATTGAGCTTTTTTTTTAAATCCTCGCAAAAGTTCAAAAATATGAGCTTTCTTAATTTTCTCAAAAAAAAATATTTAACTTACAAAAAAAAGTTTCGCACAAAAGTTGTTTAAAAGACAATTATAAATAAAAATATAATCTTATATTTTTTCATTTAAACAAATATTTTTCGAGTTACATTACATTTAATATGAGTAATAAAATTTATATTCCATTTTTTTCATTTTACGGTTACTTTTTATCATGTTATACTTACATTAGACACAATGTTATAAATGCATATGTGTGTATGTGTGAGTTTATTTATTTATTGTATCATTAAAGTGTAGTGTATATTGAGATACAACCGATAGAGTAGGTAATTGATTTGACGCTATATTATTTAAACCCAACTAAACGCTAAATTGTACATTCCGAAATAACAATCATATTATGTCAATTGCCACCGGAATATCTGGTAATATTTTTCTTTTTCTTTGCCTTAATCCCAACTACTTGGGGTCGGGCACCCTTATCCTAAGATTCCACTTGACACGATCTCCCACATCTTCTACGCTCACATCAGCTGTCCTCAAATCGCATTCAATAGCATCCCTCCATCTCTTTTTTGGTCTTCCTCTATCTCTTCTTCCTTCAACATTCATTTCTATAACTGTTCTTACAGCTTTCGATTCTTCTTTCCTCATACCATGACTAAACAATCTAAGTCTATTTTCTGTCATCTTATCCACGATTGACGCAACACCTATACTTCCTCTTATATGCTCGTTCCTTATCCTATCTTCTCTAGTCACTCCACTCATCCAACTAAGCATTCTCATCTCTGCTACACTTATTCTCTGCTCTACTTTCTTATCAACCGCCCAACACTATTAACCATACATCATAGCTGGCCTCACAATTTCATACTAAATTTAAAAACTATAATTAGTATTTATTCATATATTATATTTTAAAATCAAAGAACTACTAATCAGGATATAATTAAAGAAATAAGAGTTCATGTTGCTTTTAAAATATTTCACCAATTTCTCTAAAGGAAACACTATCTACAGATTTGCATCGAAGCGTTTCTTATGATAGTGATTTTAATCACTGTCAGATATCATCTATACTTGTCCCATCTATGCCTCGTCCACACTGTGCCTCGACCCCACTGTGCTACCGTTTTTTTTTATTGATTTTGATGTCTGTTTTTATCATGAAAACAAAATGAAGTCTGAAATTTTTTTTGGTCCTTGCATAAAATTTGTCAGCTAATTCTCACTGGACCAAATTTGATAATAAATACGTCAAATGAACCGATTTTAATCTAGTTGTACTAATAGTCATCAAATATTGTAAGAAATCCATTAAATTTAGATATTTATACAAATATAAATATAATAAAAAGAAAATTTTAAATGCAGGAACTTATATCATTACTATAATGTAAATTAATAAAAAAACCAAAACAATCTCATCTTAGCATCGAAGCTAAAATGTAAAATATAAAGTCGAGAATTTTCACTCAGAAATAGCATTCGGTAATCATTTTCACCGTGAAAATTTTACAAAATAAAGTCCGACATTTTTTTTTTCCATAATAAATTATATAACATAAGCTTTAATTTGAGGTATATATAAAAGTGTCAGTATTTCCGGAACACTTTCAAAAGTTAAGTTGAAAAAGTTAATTTTTTGTGAAAAATTTGTCACTTTAAATTCCCCCATGTGGGCAGGTAAAGGGTCAAATTTATAAAAATTATATGCTAAATGATAGGTAAAGACATCAAGCATCTATAAAAAAAATTCTAAGTTCAATTTTGAAAAAGTAATGGCAATTTTAAGTAAAANAATTCTAAGTTCAATTTTGAAAAAGTAATGGCAATTTTAAGTAAAAAAAATTGAAAAAAAACCCAGCACAGGGGGGTCGCGGCACAGTGGTGACGTGGCATAGTTGGATCAAGTATAATGATATCTGACAGTGATTAAAATCACTATAAAAAAAAAACGCTTCGATGCAAATCTTTAGATAGTGTTTAATTTTAAAAAATTGGTGGATTATTCCAAAAGCTTAAGTTGAAAAAGTAAATTTTTTTTTGAAAAAGTTGTCATTTTGAATCCTCCCCTGTAGGCAGGTAAAAAGTCTGATTTATAAAAAAAATATACCAAGATAATGATATAATGCATCTAAATAAAAAAAAATTATATTGATTTGTTCATTTTTAAAAAAGTTTTGGCAATTTTAAGTGAAAAAATTAGCAGTTTTTAAATTTGTAATTTTTTAGAGGTTCCCCCATTTACGGGGAACGAGGGAAATTTTTTCAGTTTTTGAGGGTAATACTTTCGACTAGATACAATTTGTGATCTTTTGACGTATCATTGAAAGAAATCGTTTCGATGAGAGTTGAAAAAAGTGATAACAGACACAAAAAAAACACATATTAAAATTGACACCTTCTCAGTTTCGCATCGAAGCTAAAATAACTAAAAAGCAAATACACAAAAATATCAATAGCCTATTGATATTTTTAGGCAACCCTATTGTAAATAGGGTTGCCTCTTTGGCACATTTAATAATTTTAATAATATACATATATGAATAAAAAATTAATCTTTTTGCCCTTCTAACACAATAAATCAATAATATTAAAATAATTACAAATGTAATATAAAACTCTATCAATAAATAATCTATCCTTCTTTTTACTATAAAATATTTTTAATAATTAAAATACACACAACGAAAAAAACACTAATTGGCTTTATTAAACAAAGCTTGTAATATAAATTGACTAATAAGATAATGTTTAAGAACTTTGGTATAATGATAACTGTGAGTGACTAGCAATAAAAAACAAATGTTGCCTACTTAGAGCACAATACAATATAAAAAATTTCCACTTGTCACACACTAGAAAAATTTAATGTCAAAAAAAAATTGTTAATCTAAACTAAACAATAATTTATTAACTTTTTTTTATAAACTGTGATAAGTGAACTTTTTCATAGTTAGTATTTTTTTGAGAATTAAATACTATGCAATGATTTAGTATTTTAATTTTTAGATCTTCAGAATTATATTTTCAAATAATATTATTTTAAGAATAAAATATTAAAAATTGTATGCGAATTTTGAGCTAATAGGTAATACCATCACTTAATATTTTAAAACTAAAAAAAAATTACGATTTGTAATTAAAGTAAATAAAGAACACTTTTATAAACGAAAATGGAATTTGGCAAAACATGATAATTGCCAATTTCTTCACATTTTTTTTTATACCGTGGTTAGTTATAGTATACGTATAGCTTAACGAATAGATATTATATTAAACTATTTTATCGCCAAAATTATGAATTTTATTTTATACGCTTTGAATTATGTTTTATTACAGTTCGTTTATGTAAGTATAATCAATTAAATTTAATTAGGATAATTTTTTTTAAGTTTATTAGATTTAGTAAATCTTCATTTTTATCACTTGTTGATATTTGATGACAGAGGTAATAAATTAACACGTATTCTATGTTTTAATTTTGAAATTATATTCTAACTGAATTAAATAACAATTTCTTTAAATACAAAAAAATAATTATTTTTGCATTATTGTTTTAATAGATACTGAATGTTAATTCAGTAGATGTAGATCCCATAGAAAACTTGAAGACATGTTTACGTAATAAAAAGTTGATTGAATATATATTTAATATCACCAGTAAGTATAATAATACCATGAAATTTTTTACTATCGCATAAAATAATAATTTTATTAAATATTTAAAATATAATATTATAAATTACATGAGATCCATGGACATCCACAGAAGGGCCAAGGGGGGCAATTTCCTTTTTCGACTTTTAACTTGGTCAACTTTTTATAGATTAGGGTTTTATTTTTATTTATTAAATTTATACACTTAATCTTAATAATAAAACATCTTTTAAAAATCTTTTATTTATAAATTTAGGTGGCTATTAGAATAATATTTTTGAAGATGTTAATTGTATTCTCTTAATACTCTAAGAAATATTAGTCATGGATATGACAACAAATATAATTTCTAATTATTTGGGAGCTAATTCGTTATCTGAAGAGGCTGTGCTCTTTCATGTTGCGCCTATGTCGAAGCCTCCAATAAAAAAGATCCCATTCATCCTCCCTTAAAGTCTAGGACTGTTTTGCGGACAGTCAAACCAAATATTTAAAAAAATATTATAAATATTTTCTACGGACGCCTTGAATAAGGTCCTTAATTCTTTAAAATAAGTTTAGTATGTAGCAATTTTTTGGAATGAAATAGATATTGTATTTATCTTTATTCAGTATAAAGTGAAGTAGGATTAAATGTAAATTTGTTCTTAAATATAAAATATTCAGCAGAAATTAATTTCAATTGGAAAATTTTAATTCTTTACAGAGTGCATACTTTTTAAAAACACAGTTTTTAAACGTGTTTAAAATTTGAAATATAATACACAATTTTTTTAAATGTTCTGGAAGGACTGACAACTTTTAATCTATATCAAATCAAAGCTTTTTAAGTGAAATACAATGGTAAAAAAAATTATCCAAACAATTAAATTATTACTAAAAATTTGTCGTTAAATTAAAAATTCGTAATTTTTACAAAAAGAATATTGTATTTCGAATTTTTGAAAATGTTCCAAGAGTCTGACATATATAATTTATACATGTCCCAACTATGCCACGTTACCATTGTGTTAGGATTTTTAATAGCATATATTACTCGATTTACCAATTATTATTTAGTTATGTTTGCGAACTATTTATGGAAATGTTTTTAAATATATAAAGCAAAAAATGACAAAATTTTCGAAAATAATTAAAATGAATACATATGTTTTAAATAGCACTTAAACTTTTTGTCAAAGCAATATAATATCGATGATTTACGGAATACGTTTTTAACTTGAGAATGAATTAACAAATAAAAAATAAATTTTATTGCAATAGCTAAAGAAAAACATCTTGAATAAAATGTATTTCAAATTTTAAATCGTAGTTAAATTAAAAATAATGATGAAAAGAAAAAAACACATCGTAGTAATATTAATACCTTCTGCGCTTCGCATCTAACCTAAAAATGATTAAAGATTTAATTTAAAAACAATGGACTTTAATAATAGTGTATGAATAAGATATCTTTTTAAGAATAGCTTGGAAGTTAAATATCACTTCCGACATTCAAATAGATTTATTATAAAAATAATTTAATAAGAATTAATGAACTTTTGAAAATACATACAAAAAAATTCTTTATTTTAAATTATGGTTACAATAATTAATTAATATATTAATTGTATTATGTATTATGTATAATATATTATATAATTAATGGAAAATAAGCTATGATTATATACAACAAACCAACTAAGTATAAAATTATAGCAACATAAAAACGAATTATAATTAATTATAAATATTATATCACTTCACAAACACAAAGATGTGATATCATGAATAAATGCTTAGAAAATTTAATTTAAAATACATTTATTCTACCTCAATAATTTTAGCTTCGATGGGAAGCTAAGAAGGTATTAATATTACCATGATGTGTTTTTTTTTTTTTTTT